GTATTTGACTTAAGTGTTGATACAATAGAGAAGGCAATCAAATCATAAAAAAGATTCGTTAAACTAATTAAGACTTACTTTGGGTTTTCGGGCCGACGAGCACTCTATCGATACAATCCTCGAAAGCGTGAGCCGTATTGATATCACTATAGGGCGAGGGATCGAGTTTAACCATTTCCTCAAATATTTCGTTCAATTGGTTTTCATCCAAAGTCTATTAAAAAAGAAGAAAAAGAGTACAGATTTACTAATCGTATTACTTTTATTCACTATCTCTAACACACATAACAATATACTGTATAGTGATATGCAATACAACATTATATGCCAACCGTAGTGATAGACTAAGCAATCATGTCTCACATTCAGCAAAATAATTATCCCAATCATTATTACGGCATATCTTAATCTACTGAACGCTACTATTATTTACAACGCTATTAATGAATCGCGACTAATGCCAAAGTTTGTGCCATATATTTCATACATATGTATAAAAGTTGGCCACAAATTTCATGTCTCAGTCGAAGAGATTGTCGACATATAAAGTGTATGTATGGAAAGAGAGAGAAAGTATTGATTTACCTGAAAGTTTGCATCGAAATCGCATTCACTATAATCGGCCTCATCTTTGCCGTCATTGAACTCCCATTTTCCGTCTAACAGACACTTTCTCGTCGCGTTATCTATACATATATTCAACCATTAAATTACACACAAATAGATTATTTTACGCCAAAATTGTTGCACATAAACACTAAACACTTTATTTCTTTGTGGCAACACTTCTGCCAAACAGTAAGCTATAAAGTGATGCCTGTGTTATGCGTTTGAATAATGGATATTCACATCACTTACTCAACGCTTTAGAGCCGGGAATATAATCGGGACACGAAATTGTCATAATATTGTCGGGCAGTGCGGCGTTCCAACAGCCGATGCCATCAAAATTTGATGAACAATATGATAAATCTATGTATGATAAGCATAAGTAAAATAATATAGAAATTGCATAATGATTGTCAATCATTCATTGAAACGGCAAACAATAATAATTAAATACAATAATTGTTTACTAACTTTGATGCCATCCCTTGGGTGTGGAAATCGCAGTTTGAGTGCAATTAATAAATGCTCTAAAATATTGTGATGGAGTGACACTTGATTTGGACTTCACTTCACTGCACATTATTGTAACTCTTGTAATCTAATTATTATAAATAAAATTATTATAAATACTGTAGGAACTTAACTTTATTAATATGATGTTTATTTCATACAAATAGCTAAATGTACCAAATTTTATAAAACATTATATTGAAACCATTTTGTTATTAAATTATAAATATATTTATAAATTTGTTTTATAGTTATAACTTATAAATTATAGGTGGGAAGAGGGGTGGGTAGACTTAAAGTTAGATCCCATGTTATTTACCATAGGGTAGGATGGGTTAGCTTATAATGAAGTTTTTTATAATTCATTAATTAAATGTGAGAATTTAATTAAAATTGCTTACAATATTCATGGAGTATTTAGTTATAAACTTAATGGTATTTGTGTTTCTTAGAAACAACCGAATTATAATCTATTATTTAAAAGCTCCCAAATTACAGATAAAATTTAATTAAATGCAATTAATTTTAATCAAAATATTTTCTAAGAGAATACAATTATTATTAATATAAGAATTAATTAAATAAATATAAGAGAAGAGAGAATCAAAAAGAAGACTAAAGAGAAGACTGTCTGATGGATAACGTGCTGTGAATTGTGAAAAGAGGGCACAGAAATTGAATTTAGTCTTCTTCTCTGATCAACAAAAAAAGTTTTGCTAAACTTTATTCACAATAAATAAAACATATTTTGCAACAAGATTTGAATTTTGTTGTGTGTTTTTGAGAAATATTTGATATGTAAATCATAAATATATGCATTCGTGAAATAAACAAAATTTGTAAATACTTTGAAAATTTATACCTATAAATAGATTTATATTTTTGATTTATTTATAACTTTATCGCTTTAATAAATACTTTTCGACAAGTGATTGAAAAATTTAAAATTTTCAACATTTTTNAAAATTTGTAAATACTTTGAAAATTTATACCTATAAATAGATTTATATTTTTGATTTATTTATAACTTTATCGCTTTAATAAATACTTTTCGACAAGTGATTGAAAAATTTAAAATTTTCAACATTTTTTTGAGTAAAATTTAAATTTTACAAAAATTCTATCCAAAATTCTCATTCATCTGTTTTGCTTCAATTTAATTTCTATATTAATTTTAGTTTTAAATTTAAATAATTTATAAAGTTATCTATTAAAACATAAATTCATCGCTTCATAAAATGTTTCAGAATTAATTACAAACTCATTCAATTAATTGTATTTGAAATTTCTTTCTATGCTTAGAAACAGTTATAATTCTTATTATCCATAGTATAATAATAATACATAATAAAAAGACTGTTAGCAAACGCATAGACTATTGAATTTATCTCTGTTTTGCATAAGATTTTTAATTTGTGATCCCGTGTTATTTGCCATCGATCCCATGTTAAATAATAATGGTTATGACAACTGTTTAGAAACAAGAGAAAATGAAATCATAAAGAAATGGTTTTAAATAAAGTGTTAAATAGCTTTAAAACTGCTTTTAATGACACTAAATGTTGTGTCTATTATAATAAACATTTGCGAAAGTTATGGAAATTAAAAATAAGATGAGACATAACTAATGGCATTGTCTGACAAATATAAATGAAAATATAATGTAATACTACTGTATTTCTAGCACCAGAATCTCACGTTAAAACAAAACACATG